CCCCACAATTTAAAAATAGTATAAATTAAGCATGTTCAATATGCTGAATTAAGAAAATAAAAAAAGTATAAAGATGAAAATGAATTCTATAACCCAGATATATCATGGTTAATATGTCAGTGCAATTCCTTCCAGTCTTTTTCATATTCACATATATGTCTATAAATTAATCACAACTCTTGGTTTTAGTGACAGAAAACCTAACTGAAGAACAGAGGAAGATTTTCTCACTCTTGTATCTGGGAAGGGCTGGCGTGGAGCTGGCTGTAGGACTGAACAGAATCACAGAGTTCCGTGGACTTTCTCTTGCTTCTGTGGCCCCCTATGCATGGTCTTTTTTGCAAACTAGTTTCTTCATGTTGCAAGGCACATGGCCAAACTCTCTGACCTTGGTTCACTTTCTCCCTTTCAATATGCTCTCGTCACAATCTCTTTTTAGCATACAGATGCTCCTGGACTTATGATGGGTTATGTCCTGATAAACCCATCATAAGATGAAAAAATTGTAAGCCAAAAATGCATTTAACACACCTAACCTACTGAACATCATAGCTTAGCCTCACCTACCTTAAATGTTCTCGGAACACTCACATTAGACTACACTTGGGCAAAATTCCCTAACACAAGGCCTATTTCCTAATGAAGTGTTGACTATCTCCTCTAATTTATTGAATACCGTGCTAAAGAGAAAAACAGAATAATTGTATGGGTACTCAAAGCACAGTTCCTACTGAATGCGCATGGCTCTCACACCATTATAAAGTCAAAAAATCGTAAGTTGAACCGTTGTAAGTCGGTAACTATCTGTACTGACTTACCAAGCTCACTCCTGCTTCAGTAATCCTGCCTGGAACACGTCTTCCTAAGCCGTTTGCATGTCTGACACCTTCTCATTTGTCAAGATCTCAATTTAATCATCCCCCACTTAGAAAGAATCTATCCACCAATTTCCCCTTCTGAGTCATTTTCTATTCTAGCACCACGATGATTTCCTTCAGAGAACTTTTAATAAGCATCACTTTTTCCTTGTCGACTTACTATACTCCTCTTCTTCATGACAACTTGGATCCCCATCTATCTTGTTAAGCATGGGAGCCCCAGTGCCCACAACAGAAACTGTTACACAGGAGGTACTCATCAAAATGCATGTTGCATGACTGCACGGAATGAATGAGGGCTGGAGGCTCAGCTCACATCCTTACCTTTGCAACCAGAAAGAAGAGACCTTTTTCTCTAACGCAAATCAAAATATAAGAAGCCTTAGGACACGACCTTGTTTAGTTAGGCATGGATCCTCAAGCCAATCACCACCGGCAGGCAGACATAGTAGTATTAACAGAAACACAAGGTCAGAAGAAACATTTCTCAGAAGAAGGCAGACGTGGTCTTAAATGAACAGACGTCAGGCACTCGGCCCCAAGCCAGTCCTGCCTTAGGGCTATTGTTCTAGCCATGGCCTTGGTCTTGACTGCTCTTTCCCAGGTTTCTGCCTGGTGAATTTGTTCTTCTCCAAGTTTTCTCAAACATCTCCTTCTAGAGAAAGTCTATACCCGTCCCCTTCTGTAATACTGTAACTTCCCACCTCCTACCTCTTTCCCCAGCTGCCCCAGCCTCAGGACTCCTTACTGTGTTCCATGGTTTACTTTTTCTGTCATGTTCTACCACATTGTATAAACTACCTTTTTATGATGCTTACTGTCTCTGCTCCTGGCTTCTGCTAGAATATGAGCTTCCCAAGACAGGGATCTTCTTCATGGATGTGTCACATGCACCCAGAACAGTGACTGGCACACAGAGGGTGGACAGTAAGTCTTTGTTGAATGAATAAATGAATGAATAAATGTGTGTGCAGAGTCATCACTGGGCAAATCCTTTTTTGGTATGTATCAGGCATTTTTTTGAGTGAGTAAAGAGGGTGGACAGTAAGTCTTTGTTGAATGAATAAATGAATGAATAAATGTGTGTACAGAGTCATCACTGGGCAAATCCTTTTTTGGTATGTATCAGGCATTTTTTTGAGTGAGTAAACAAAAAAGGCGAAGTTTTTTTGCGCATTTAGATGGGGAAGAGAGGCCACAAAGAGATAAATATTTGACATTTTGTATAGTGAGAAAAAAATCACCACCAGGGCTAATGGGATTGAGAATTCTTGCGGTATGATGATACCACATTAGCTGGGAAGGGAGGACTGGCAAGGCCTCTTTGAGAATGTGACATTTCAGCTGGGAACTCAGTGATGGGAAAGGCCCCTCTAAAGAGATCTGCAGGAGGCCTGTGCCAGGCAGAAGTGTCAGCCAGTGCAAAACCCAAGGCAAGAACATGCATGACCAGGATGTCATGTGGAAAGGACAGTCAGGGGGCTCCAGAGGCAGTCAGGGGGCTCCAGAGGCCATGGGGAGGAGTTTGGGTTTTATTCTAATTTCAGTGGGAAGCCATTGGAGGGTTTTAGGCAGGGAATGAAATGACCTAGTTTATTCTTTGAGAGCTTGTTGCAGCGTGGACACACTGAGCAGAGCATGGGTGATGTAGAGTGACAATTTAGAAAGGCTGCTGTAGTTGTCTGGGTGGAGGGTCTAAAGTGGCTGGGTCCAGGGTTTTTGCAGTGGAGATGGTGAGAAGTTACCGAATTTGGGACATATTTCAGAGACAGCGTAGGCAGAACTTATTGATAGTTTTAAAAGAGGTGTGAGAGAAAGTCACTAGTTATTTTTCTTCAACAGGATTTTTTAAAAGTCTGTATATGGGCAAATTGCAATTTACGTACAATTTATCTAATTTCTGGAAACCTAGGTCATTTCCAAAAATTTACCTTATGGATAATATTTTGCTGGACATTCTTCTATACAAATCTTTGTGAAAATCTTAGAGTAGTTCTTTAGGATAATATTCCTAGAAGTGGATTTGCTGCGTCAATGGGTAGAAACAGTCGTAGTGTTCTTTTGTATATATTATCAGGCTATGTCCCAGAAATTTCAGTTCCAATCGTCAGTGATAATATTCCTAGAAGTGGATTTGCTGCGTCAATGGGTAGAAACAGTTGTAGTGTTCTTTTGTATATATTATCAGGCTATGTCCCAGAAATTTCAGTTCCAATCGTCAGTGTTTGAGGGAGCCTATATGTACTTCTATCTTTTTCAACATTCAGTAACATTATTTATTTTTTTTCAATTTGATAGGTTGAAAATGGGATCACAACATTGGTTTAATTTATATATGTATATGTGCATATATACATATATGTATTTATTTGAATTTTTTATTTTGTGAATTGTGTTCTTGACCTTGGCCTACATTTCTGCTGCGTTATTTGTCTCTTTTTTTTCTGATTACTGTATTAGGCAAAAAGATGATACAACACACCATCTTTTTTAAGGAAAGCAAACTAGAGGGACTATTTTTATAAAAGTGTAGATTGAAGAAGCCCGAGACAGTGCATTACCCTGGGCTAATCATGCTGGGTGGCTCCGTTTCCATCGCTGGGCCACGGTAATGGGGAGGC